TAAATAAAAATTTCGCTTGACATTTGAAAATGATAATTTCTTATAAATATTAAATTTACAGACTCTGGATCGCGACCCATTTAAAAATATTTTCAGAGTAATGCGGAAGTACAATAATAATCAAATCATGACACATTTAATATCTGATGACCAAACATTTGCCTGCCATCCTTGCATCTCCGCTGACTCAATGCCTCCCGGGAATGGTTCCGTCATTGTCTTCTTGTTACCTACGTGTAGTCAACGAAAAAATACAAACTACACGCTCAGCGAAACCGCTGAGTGGTACCACGCTAGAATTGTAGAATAATTCACAGACATATACATATACATATATATACGTCCGCAAAGTGTATAATAATGTTCATGATATGGCACATTATGTCATATGATCAATTTGATGATTCATGATGATAAATATTCACTGATAATTACATGATGGCACATTTATTCAATTGCTAGTTCTTGGTGATGATTACATGACACCTATGTAATCAACATAACTATACTTGATGATGATTTCATGTTGTATGATTCTAAGTCAACAAGGAACGACCTTGCAACTATGAGATTCGCCCATTTGGTACGACGAACTCATGTCCTTCTTAGTCTCACAAGGGAGACTAGAAAAAATAGGGGTGGTACTCGAAAGTCTGAATACCATGTACGTACATTAAGCCCGGTCAGGGTTGTCGGACTACTAAGTCCCGCCCAACCACGCTATAAGAGACGCAATTACGCATGATCTCTTACGCATGCATATGATATGATATGCTACAATATGTGTGATGATATGAGTCATATTATATGAACAATTTGTAAATAATATGAATGGATAAATATACTTTATTTTATTTGGGTGAAATCTGATAAAATATCATTTAATTAAGTTACGGGGCTCGGAACGGTCGACCGTTTGGAGCGACGGTCGACCTTGATCTTCATCAGGTCGGATTTGACGGATCACCGTGACGGTCAACCGTGATTGACCGGCGGTCGACCATTGTTGACTGGCTGCGGAAGGTGGACTTCGGCTGGTTGGCGGCGGTCGACCGTTAGCCACCGGCGGTCGACCGTTTAGCTGACAGTCGTGGTCCGTTTCGATGTTTAACGTGACGGTCGACCGTTTGCGTCGACCGTTTGGGTCTGCGAATCTTTCTCTTGATATTTTGAGTGTCCAAAATACTTCTTTAACTCTTTTTAAACACCTTTGATTAACATATACATGTTGTTGGGTTGATTTCAAATGGTTAAATATACTTATGTGTGTGTGTGTGTATATATATATATATATATATATATATATATATATTAACTTTATGAATTTGGTGTATTTTGGTCTTAACACATAGATGACTTATATATGCATCACATATATATTTTGGAATGATTTCAACAAATGGATTAACATATATGTTCATGTACGAATGTGATGAATGATTCGACAAGTGTAACGCAAAGGTACAGACCTGGAAATCATCGGCCGAAAGCTTACGGATGAGCGGGAGTGGAAACAACATCGGAAATCACCAACTTTGTCATTCCCGTCACAATTGGACAACTTGCGGTATTTTGGGCATATCTCCATCGTTTCTTCACAAAATTGCAAACCGCTTGATTTTGTGGATTTCTAAGATATAAGGCTATAACTTTCGTATAGAAAGTATTTCGAATTAACAAGTGTAAAATAACGTAAATCGGACCTGAAGTCAATGGAAAGTTGCTGTCCAGAATTTCGGCTATGTCGATGAACACGATTCTGACGATTAACTCACTAATTTCAATATTCCAACGCCAAACCCTCTCTACGATACCTTCCGGATGTTCCTAATAATTGTTAGAGAGGTTATGGTAGGTATTTGGAATGAAATAATATGAATTTGGTGAAGAAACACATGCCAACCCGAGGAGCTCGCCACCACTGG